CCTTCAGGGAACGAGGGTTACACAAGTAACCTAGACGTTCTCTGTAACTGCTTTCAGTTCTTTGTAGCAAATTGCTTTTGGTCCATCATGAGAACTTGGCTGAGGGATATGCTTTTTGTGGTATTCTTTCTAGGTACAGCACTTTCTATTTATTAATTTCTGTTGTTTGAGAATGTGATGTGAGAGGCAGTGTGAGTTAATAATGTTTTATGCTCTCCACAGAATGCAGAGGACAACACACTGTACGTCAGTCACCAAGCTCTTCTTCAGCTCACACAGGAGAGACTGTGACTCTGAACTGTGAATATAATACGACAGACACAATGCCTGCTCTGCTGTGGTACAGGCAAACAAAGAATTTATCTCCAGAATATATTTTAGTAAGACATCATTTTGGAAATGGAAGTAATTCCAAAGACTTCCCCAACAAAAGATTTCAGTCCCAGTTGGATTCTGCTGCAAGAAGAATTTCACTGACTATCCAGAACCTTCATCTGCCTGACTCTTCGTTGTACTTCTGTTCTTTGAGGCCCACTGTGAAAACAGGATACTGAGTATTCAAACAAAAACCTGAACTTCACAGCCCACGTAATAGTTTGTTGCCATTCTCACTGTTTGTATGTGATAAAAGTAACACAATTTAATGCTGATAAATAAAGCAACAACAACAACATGAATTTAAAAATGACTTAATAGCTACTTATAGCTAAAACATTTGTATATAATTTCTACATGTTTGTTCTGCAAATAATTTAGAGGCTTTTATTTTATTTTTTGAAAACTGGACCCACAACTCTAGACCTAAAACGTGTGTGTTTGGGGTCAGTAGGAGGGGCTTTAGTGTTTTGACACCATCTAGGCCATCCTGAGGATGTGGTTTTGAAATAGATTAGCTACAAGCTGAGCTGTCAGTCAGAACATCGGCCTGAACCATGTTGCTCTGTTTACTTAGCTTTCTATCTACATTTGGAGGTGAGAAGCTCAATTTCAGTTTAATTTTAATACCTTTAATCTTGTAACCACATACATTTCAGATTTTTCTTCATTAGAATTGTACAATTAATGCTCCTGAGGTCAGGTTCAGGTCGACCAAAATACAACACCGTAAAATAAATCTATACTTACGAATACTCATTTCTCTTTTTCAGCTGGCCGCAGTGGAGACGTCATCACTCCTGTCCAAACTGAGGTGTATGGGAAGAGTGGGGATAAAATAACACTGTCTTGCAACTACTCCACAGCCCTTTCTTTGTATTGGTATCGTCATTATCCAAGATCAACTCTAGGTTTCCTTCTTCTGATACTACAAAACAGCGGGGAGTCTGAAACCATGCAGCCTGGAATGTCCGTGAAATTAAATGAAAAGAAAACCTCTGTGGATCTGGAGATCTCCTCTGCGAAAGTAACAGACTCGGCAGTTTACTACTGTGCGTTGAAGCCCACAGTGTGAGGAAACCCGGCAGCGTCGTACAAAAACCTAAATCTGTCTTAACAAAGCATATCTAAGTACTGAAAAATATACTAATACCATAGAAACACTGCACTACATATGTTTCACATCTATTCTGAATCACACAGTAATTATACTGTTCAGTATTTCACTGTGAAATTATTATTATTATCATTTTAAAATCTATTTATTATTTAGTGATTATCACCAATCAAAGTGAATTAATTGCCATTATTTTATTAGATTAAAATGAGGTAAAGAATCATTACAGAAGACTGTTTATCATCAAGAGAGAGCAAAATTATGTTCTTAAAACTAATGTTTCACTGTTTATTTCTCTCTATGTGAAAAGGGTGAGTAAAGGTTCAATTTGACAATGAAATTCATATACATAAGCAGAGATTTCAACAACCTAATGGCTTTTAAGCTTAGGTTGTCACTGTGCTTTGATGTTCCAAGAATAATTTCTAGCACAGTTCTAGTTTAAACTGATATTCATCTCTGTCTGTATTGGTGTTGCCTTTGAAGTGCAGATGAATCACCAAACCTGATATAGGTAACAGTCAAATTAGGACATAATGAGTTTGTGGTAACACCTGCAGCTGTCTGAAACTGAAATAGACATGTACGTTAAAGCTATACATCCACTTTTTTTTTTTTTAAAGGGAAAACACACTTGAGAAATGGCTACACATGCACTTCAAAAATTAAACATTAATAAAATCAACTGGGAAAAAGAGCACTACTGTAGAAAACAAATCTATACAGAATATTTTAAGAAGTACGTCTAACTGATACGACACAAATAAACTTCTAATTTTTTTTTAATTCAGCGATGATTTTGTGTAATGAATGAATGAATGAATGTAATCACACCCAGGTAAAATCATGCATTCTTTTCTCATTCTTTCTCTGCTATTCATTAATTCAATTTTACAGAAACATTTAAACCTCAGATAATAAGATGTGTGCACTTTAAAAAAAAAAGGTAATTATGGACATTATCCATATTAATGGCCATTTCCACTAATGCAAAAACACAATGCAGTGCAGTGCAAAAAATACAAAATACAGGTAAAACACCTGTTTAAAAAATCAATACAGAAAATTCCTTAATTTTAATATAGAGTACGTTGTGCCTTCTTTTTACAGATTTTTTTAGATTGTGGGTGGAGCTTTAAGAGAGGCTTTCATTTCTCAATTATGAGCTTCATTTTGTTTTTACAGTGCAATCATGATGTTCCTGTGCATTCTGATTCTGCTGTCAATAATTACAGAGTGAGAAAAAACATATATATATATATATATATATATATATATATATATATATATATATAGGTTATATCACCTGTTTTATAATTGTATGTCTGTTTTTATGATAATTCAACAGCATTTATTTACACTTTGTCATACTTTACCATTTTCATTCTTTTTATTAACAAGTTCTATACACACATTTTACAGATGAATGCTTTGCACAGACAATAACACCACTGCAGGACAGAACACAAGTTACTGAGGGGAAGCCAGTCAATCTGTCATGCACATATGATGGCAGTGTACAGAGTTTACTTTGGTATCGACAATATCCTGGATCTGGACTGGAATTTCTGCTCCTTGTCGTTGAGTCATCTACGAAGTCTGTAGTATATGCAAATCCCCCTATTCCTAGACTGGATGGTGAAATGAGTATGAAAGACAAGCGTGTGGATCTGATCATCTCCTCTGCTGAAGTGACAGACTCTGCTCTGTACTACTGTGCCCTGGTGCCCACAGTGACAGAAAACACAACACCGCTGTACAAAAACCTCCAACCATACTCCATGTGCAATACACACATGGTGTTGAAATTAAATCACTATTTCAAATAATTTCTTTGTTTTTCTGAGTAAACTCCATAGCCCTGGTTTATAGTAGTTAACACTTTTACCTCTACATATGACTGTTTTAGTGCAGAAATGCACAGCTGTAATCATAAAACCATAAGTTAGCTCCAAAAAAAGAACATAATTTAAGAAAGAACATAATGTAAGTGTTTAATGCATATACATACAGTAAGTTCAGCTGAATCAGTTTAATGCTGTTAAACTGAATGTACAAAGCAAACTGCTGAAATATCCACAACAATCAATTGCATGTGAAAGCAGCTATCTATCGCTTACACCCTATGACTAAAATATTAAATGAACAAAACATTAAATAAACTTCATAAACTTGCTTAAAATAAACCCATGACAACCACAAGGCGGCACCTGTTCTAGTTTTGAGTGTATGCACCGTAATGTGATGTGATATTTGATACTAACTAGAGCCAGATGATTTTCTTGTTCCTTAAGAGGCAAAAGTTTAAATTTTCACAATTATCCTTTATTTGATTCTATTTAATGACTATTTTACTGAGACGTGTTTCTCCAGGCCAATGTATGGATATAGAAACTTGTGATGTGATGGCTAAAATGATCCACAAGAGGGCAGACTTCAACCAAAAATTAATTGAAACTGAACCATTTCTTCAAGGGCACATAAGGGGAGGAGATCCAAGGCAATTATTTCAGGCATGCTGAGGTTTCAGACATAGTTAAACATAGTTGCTCATTTGCTCCTTGTCAGTAATGATTTTCTTGTTTTGTCTGTGGCTCATCTCCCTCTTAACAGGTAAGAGATACATGCAATTAATCAAATAAACATCACTTAGAACACACAATAATATAAAGTACTTTACTTCTGTAGTTCTGTTCGTCTCCATTCATTATTCCCATCTATCTTTCTCTGTTTCTCCTAGGTGATGCCTCTAGTGAGGGAATAGCACCAGTCTCTCCTAATGAAATAGTCTCGGAAGGGAACACAATCACCCTGTCCTGCAATTACAATGGATCAGCTGCTACAGATGCTCTCCACTGGTATCGTCAGTACCCGAGATCCAGACCAGACTTCCTGTTTCTAGTTAATGAAGCTGCATTTAAGCAACCAGCTGATCCTCCAATTCCTGGAATATCTGCTAGATTAAATGAGGAGAAAAATCGTGTGGATCTGGAGATCACTGGCACTGCATTAACTGATTCTGCTCTGTACTACTGCGCCCTGCAGCCCACAGTGACAGGAAACACACATACACTGTACAAAAATGAAACCCATTAAAATAGAATTCAGCATCTGTGCTCAGTGGATGATTATGCATGTTTATATTTGAACATTTTGATCCAGAATTGGGAGCCAATGAGTTTCAATTGCTTTATGATTGTCTTCTTAGCAACAACTGACCTTGTGTTCAAGAAAATAGAATACTGAAATACATTTAACCAGAATTTAAGGATATGCATTTAGTAAACCACTCTAATAGTTCTTTCCAGTATGCAGTATACATTTTGACACATTTTAGTACTAATTTTGTCAGCGCATCGAGTGCATTATTATTATGATATGCTGCACAGTGATGAAAGTTTTCTGACTTTTCTCATTACTGCATTTCAGAGATTGTCCTGGAGTTTAAATACAAAAATATTGATAAATCATTCCTTATTAAAGCATTAACTAATCTGTGATCCAATCACGATTACCCACTCAAGTTTGTTGTCAAAAAGTTGCCATTTTGATATGATGCCAGATGTGATGATTATGAATATACCAGACAGTACCTTTTCACATATGAAATACTACATATTAGTAGTCCAAATGGATTTTCAAATGTACACTCTCATGAAGAAAAAGAAAAGGTACAAAAGTCCGTACTGGGGCAGTATCCTTTTAAAAGTTCTATGATGTATAATTTAGGCACTAATATGTACCGCACATCCTGATTTTGCTGAGGTATTAGCATATTTTGTTGACCCTGGAACAAAAATTTTGTGTTGACCATATCCCTACACCTAAACCTAACCTTAACCATGAGTAATCCCTAAAATCAGAGGAAATTATAGATGAATGACATTGATGTACATGCACCGAACACTGATTGTAAGCCTAAACTTCACAAAAACTATAAACTGGTTCTTCAAATCTGATTGGTTAATCACAATGTTGTTCCAGCGTCAACAAAGATGTTGATCCAGGAACATGGTAAAATCAGGTTCTGCAATATGTACCTTCAAGATACTATGCACCCTTTTTTTCTGAGAGTTTATCACATTTGATGTAATCATAAGCACACAGAGATAATGTGGGTGGAGCTTCAAGATATTGTGTTGGGATTCATCTCTTATTTGACTTCAGTCTGTTCTTTAGCAATGCAAAAATGGCTTCTCTTTTATACCTACTTGTAATTTTAGCCATACAGGGTGAGTAGGTTTAATTAATTGTTTTACTTTAGATCTATAAGATATATTTACCAAAAATACTATTTATTTATGTAAATACAGGATAATGTAATTTACAATAACTTGCAATTTACATAACTTCATACTGAACATTCTGCGTGTATTTTTCCTGATGTTTTTCATGCTCTATTTGCAGGTAAATCTTTTGCCCAGTCAATAGCACCATTGCAGACCACAGAACATCCTACTGAGAGAGAGACAGTTATTCTCTCATACAAATATGATAGCCAAGCACGTAGTTTACATTGGTATCGACAATATCCTGGATCCAGACCTGAATTTCTGCTTCTTGTTTATGAATCAAACAGTTTACTACATGCAGAACCCCCTTTCCCAAGAATGAATGCCAGTGTGAATAAGGTGGAGAAGCATGTCCATCTGGAGATCTCCTCTGCTGCAGTCACAGATTCTGCTCTGTACTACTGTGCTCTGGAGTCCACAGTAACAGGAAACACAAGAACACTGTACAAAAACCTCTATGGGAAGTCTTTATTATGTAATGTTAAATATCCTCTATGACAATAATAGAATTAAAATAATGTCCTTGAAACTTTCTAAAAGCACTGGTTTACCTTCACTGTGATCATATGCATAAATAAAGATTAAATATAGATTTTTGGTTCATTTTACTCATTGTATATTTTATGCATTACAATATATTGTATTTTCATGTATTTATGTATTGCATTTTTATCTAATATTTCTGTTTTTTTATGAAAGAAAGAAAAAGATTCTTTAAAAAAATTATTTCATTAAAAAAAACCTTTATACATAAATTTGCAAAACTTGGCATTTTCGGAAGAATTGAATTCAATTAAACAATTGTAGCCTAGCTTTTTCCCCATTCTCATATCGTTAAAAAAAACAATATTTCAAACTAAATCTAATACACACATAACGTGATATCTCTGAATGTTTTCATTTATACATTGCAAGCTATGGGTGGAGCTTTTGGGTGGATCTCATAAAAAATTCACATCTGTGTGCAGATTTCATTCGCTGTTTGTGGTGCAAAGATGATGCTTCTGTGCTGTCTGCTTGTGTTTTCAATAACAGAATGTAAGTGATAAACAGTAGGCCTACTATATAGCTTTGTTTAAAGATAGAATCGTAATTAATGATATTAACAAGCTTTTATGCCAGTTCATAGCAAGTAATTCAACATTATTTCATCATTTGCTTTGCTAAGCAATTTACATTTTGTGAACGTTTTCATCTTGTTATTTTTTCTAACTGAAAGCTTCCTATTCTATGCAGATACATTTGCACAGTCAATAAGACCACTGCAGAATGACATTCATGTCACTGAAAAGAAGCCGGTCATGCTGTCATGCAAATATGAGGGAAGTGCAAACAGTCTACACTGGTATCGCCAGTATCCTGGATCCAAACCTGAATTTGTGCTCCTTGTCATGGAGGCATCCACTAAACATGTAACATATGCAGATCCCCGTATCCCTGGAATGGATGGGAAAATGAGCATGAAAGATAAGCAAGTGGATCTGGAGATCTCCTCTGCTGAAGTATCAGACTCTGCTCTGTATTACTGTGCCCTGCAGCCCACAGTGACAGGAAACACATCAACACTGTACAAAAACATCTATGAAGTGAAAAAACAAGACTTTTGTCATAGCCTCATGTTTACTGATTGTAGATTAATCAAGTAATCAAAATTCAAAGAAAATGCTTAAGATATTTCACAAATTTATTTATGAATTAAAATTTAAAAAAAAAATTGCTATAAAGAATGTAAAAAATATAGGATATTTCAACACAAATATGATCAAATTAAATTTGAAAATGAATAGGCATGAGTTTCTGAGCAAGATTTCAGGATACAATTCATATGATCGTTTAAGGGAAAGATAAAATCTTATGTACTGTGACAGATCACCATTTGCTCTAAGTCTTTTGCCAATTTAAATCACCCTTGTTGACCTCACTAGTTTATTTTAAATGGCACTGTAGTGTAGCAAATTCAATTTTAAAGTACAAATATTCAATGTCTCCCAATTAATATGGTCATAAACATGGCATGCATTATAATTCTATATTAAATAGTTTTCAACAGAGTATAGCATGTCTCATCACTAGATTTGTCATATTCCCAAGTATTCCATGTCAACTACCCTTTTGTGTATTTTACATCAATGATGCTTTTCATAATAATAAAAAAGATCCTTTAATTTCTAAAGGTTTTGTTGCAATAACAGAGGACAAAATTGTGGATTTGGTGGTTCAGTGAAGTAACCCTATGACTTTATTTTTTATAAACTGGCTGCCCATATTTTAAAACCTCAAGATAATCAAAAAGGCGGACAAAATATGCTGTGTTATTAATGATAACCTTGCTCTTCCACAGCTGATTGATTTAAATTCATTATTGCAGCCACATGGTGGCATTATTTCTAGTCTTATGTCTCATAAGACATTGTAAAACCTCAAGATAATCAAAAAGGCGGACAAAATATGCTGTGTTATGAATGATAACCTTGCTCTTCCACAGCTGATTGATTTAAATTCATTATTGCAGCCACATGGTGGCATTATTTCTAGTCTTATGTCTCATAAGACATTGTACAGTCATGGTCAAAAGTTTTGGCAGTGACATAAATTTTGTGTTTTGCAAAGTTTGCTGCTTCAGTATTTGTAGATTATTTTTCAATGGTATACTGAAAAACAATGATAAGCATATACGTTTTACAGGCTTTTATTGGCAAAAAAATATGAGTAAATATTTACAGTGTTGACCCTTGTTCTTCATAACCTCTGCAATTCGCTCTGGCAT